TATACAATCGAATACTACATGGCAATGAGAATGAAATCTGGCCATTTGTAGCAACATGGATGGAACTTGAGGGTGTTATGTTGAGTGAAATAAGTCAGGCAGAGGATAGATACCATATGTTTGCACATATAGGTGGATTAGGAGAAACTTAATAGAGGACCGTGGGGGAGAAGAAGGCAAAAATAGTTGGGGAGAGGGAGGGCGGCAAACCATGGAGGCAAACCATGAGAGACTCTTGAATGCTGAAAACAAACTGAGGGCTGATGGTGTGGGGGAGAGGGGAAGGGGAGTGATGGGCATGGAGGAGGGATGAGCACTGGGTCTTATGTGGAAACCAACTTGACAATAAACTATTTAAAAAATAGTAAATAAAATAAAATAAGAAAAAAAGTATCTTCAAAAGCAGAAATATGGTAGCAGCAGCAGTAGCAAAAATCATTAAGAGCTCTCACTGTTAATGAAAAACAAGGCACCATTAAAAGAATTTCATCATTTTTTGGAGCTAATGTGTGATTTTTATTTTTTTATTAAATTTTTAAAGCTTATTTACTTATTTTGAGAGAGACAGAGACAGCACAAGTGTGGGAGGGACAGAGAGAGAGAGAGAGAGACAGAGAGAGACAGAGAGAGACAGAGAGACAGAGGGAATCCCAAACAGGCTCTGTGCTGTCAGCATGGAGCCCAATGCAGGACTCGAACCCACGAAACTGTGAGATCATGAGCTGAGCTGAAACCAAGACTTTTAACCGACGAAGCCCCCCAGGTGCCCCTGGAGCTAATGTTTTAAAGGTAAGTCACCCAGCAATGTCTGCACAAATGAATGGCATACCCATATCTACTTAAGTAAGGTACATAGTAGCCTAGAAGGATTATAGAAATTCTCACCTCAAAACCAAATCTTGAATGGGAGTTCTCTGCACGATCTTTTCCACGTTTCTGTTATTCTAAAACTCAACTAAAAATATAAAGTGTAATTTTATAAAGCCTTTAGATTACATGCATGTTAGAGGCGATTGAAATTTGGTAGAAGTTGCAAGGGTAATATTACAGAAGTGTATGCAGAATGCCCTTGGGCCCTCATCTCAGCAATCTATTGGAGCCTTATGGAGAAAATTAGGATTTTCACAGAAGTTTGAAGGAACTGAGAGGGTTGATGATGGGTGAAGTCGGCCCCATGGTTTATTTCAAAAGAAGACTCCCAGGTAGCAGTGAGGAGCATGGACGGTGGGGCTTCTCTAGGCATTAGGAAAAAAGAACATATAGATCCAAGAAGACACTAAGTAAAGGAACCCTGCTCCCTAAAAACCAACTGGGACATTTTGGACATTTAGTCTGGGCATTGTGGACTATAATGTTACAATCGGTGAAATAAATAAAAATCGACTTACTTTTTAATTGCAAGGTCATAAGTGGACTTAACACTTCTGATCGCCCCGAGCTTCTAAACAATTTGACTAGTTTCAAGTTTAAAAAAACTTTAGCGAGCAGTCAAAACACAGTACAGTGCTTTGGTACCGTTCTTGTAGAAATTAACCCCAAAGTGGAGGAAGGCATTGGGCCATTTGTCTCAGCTCGCAGCTTGTGGATCTGCACCAGCCATGAACCGAACCCCCCCAACCTCGCCTCCCAAGTGGACCCTGAATTGGTGCTCACTCCCAGGCAGCTCTCCAGTGCATAGCAGATGTAACTACCCACTTATGACCAGCTTCTAGTAGGAAATGCCAAGGAGGGGGAAATCGGAGTCTGAGATATTACTGAGCCCCGAATTATATGAATATGGAATAGGAAACTTTTTTTGGTCCACTGGTCTTTGAACTTTTGTTTTTAATAGCAAGACATGTTTATGAATTAAATATTATGCAGAATCCCAAATATAAAATTGATAAGGCAGAGCGGATCGACATGGGAATAGGGGAGGGGCCTAGAAGTCCAACTGCCTCAAGTCACCCTCTCTCTAACTTTGGGGTACTTCTTGGAACAATTGGAGCTGAAAACCATCGATACATCTGACTCCCAGAGATGTTCAATGACTGAGTCAAGATGCGTAGCAGTGCCATCAAGGCTAGACCCAGAACAACTTCCCCTGGGGCGTTTTCCCCACCACATCATTTCCCAGACCACCTCTCTAGCAACTCTTTCTTAATAAACCTCCACAGTGGCGCCTGGGTGGCTCATTCGGTTAAGTGTTCAACTCTTGGTTTTGGCTCAGGTCATGATCTCACAGGTTGGGAGTTTGAGCCTCGACCGGGCTCCACACTGACAACATGAAGCCTGTTTGCGACATTCTCTCTCTCCCTCACTCTCTGCCCCTCCCCTGTTCGCTCTCCCTCAAAATGAATACATTAACAAAACAAACAAACCCTCTACACACCTGAGCTGAAGGATGTGTTAACTAACCTTATTGTGATAAACATTTCACAATAGGTATGTGTATCAAATCATCACATTGCACACCTTATACTTACACAGTGTTATAGGCCACTGTATCTCAGTAAAGCTGGAAAAAAAATTAAAAAGGACTGGGGCGCCTGGGTGGCTCAGTCGGTTAAGCGTCTGACATCAGGTCATGATCTCATGGTTCGTGGGTTCGAGCCCCGCGTCGGGCTCTGTGCTGACGGCTCGGAGCCTGGAGCCTGTTTCAGATTCTGTGTCTCCCTCTCTCTCTGACCCTCCCCTGCTCACGCTGTCTCTCTCTCCTAGAAATAAACAAAACACTGAAAAAAAATTAATTAAAAAAAGAAATAAATAAAACATTTAAAACATATTTTAAAAAAAGAAAAAAAGAAAAAAGGACAAAGAAAGCCTTCACGGTGCCTCTTTTAGAGAAACAGACGGAGCCCCACAGGTAGGGAGAAAGAGGAATACACTAGGTGTCACAGGGTGGGATGGCCCTGGGTGAGACATGACACAGTACAAAAACCCCGATGGAAAAGGCACACGGTGCCTCGACACACCTGCCCCTGAGCTCCTTGATAGTGAAGCCAAATCCTCGTTCAGGGCTATGTTTCCCAGAAGACATGAAGGGCCCCTGACCAATTCTCAGCAGGCATCCCGTCCTGCTGGTATCTGTCAGTGTGGCTCAGGGCTGCCGGCCTTCCAAGGTCACAGTCAGCCCTCTGAGAGAGCCTTTGATTTAATGCGGAAGGGAATTCCCACTGGCTGATTAAATATTTTGATATTTTATCATTTTCCTGCAGCCAGCAGCTTTTGGCGTGCAGGCTATTTTTATGAATGCAGTAAGTAAATATTATGGGGTCAGTCACAGAGATGAACGTGGACCCACGAGCCTGGGGCTGGAAAGCATTAGGCTTCACTAAAAAAAAAAAAAAAAAAAAAGTGGGAATAAAAAAGTAAAATATTGAGGATTTGAAAATACTTGCAAAGCATTGCAACAGTGCATCCAAAGACCAAATTTAATATAATTAGAGCACTAAAAGCAAATCGATTTTATATAGTGATATATCTTGATATCCAAGGAATCTAATTCATTTTATTTCAAGTTTGCAGCATTTAACAGAAGAAAGAGAAGAAGCAGGGTTACACTTTCACGTTAACAATCATGAGTTTTGTTTTCCACATGGAACTAGACCTTTCCAGACTCTTCCACAAAGCACAACAGACAGATTCCTAAGATGCTAAGCCACTACTCAGAGTTTCCAGGGGTGCCAGGCCACTTTCCAAATGGCCCTTTGGAAAATACAAGAAAGAAAAAACAAAGTGTGGGCCATGGTGGTGTTATGCTCCAATGCCCTCTTGAGTGGGAAAGCCTCGATGATCTGCTTGGAAGCTGATGTCACAAAAATCCTCCTTGACACAGGGTGAGTCACTGCAGGAAATGTATTCCTTCCTGGGAAACCACTAACCCTCTGTAGGGGCTCTGCCTGTTTCACAGCCACCCGCCTGGAAATCCCCAGGGAATCCACACTTAGTGTATCGGTCAGCGGCTCCAAAGCAAGACGCTTCCCCAAAGCATCTTTTCTGCTTTTCTCTCAGCTGCCCTTGCGGCCGGCTCAGGTCAGGATGAACACGAGGAACACTGCACAAATTCATCTGATATGCACTGCTGATTTATTTTTACACTATCTTTCTGTACCTACTCTCTGGATGCTTTGCCGTTTGTCCGTCTGCTACACTGGCTGACTGTTCAAGTCCAGATCATTTCACAATCTTTCTGATTGGCAAAGGGCTTTTTTTTGCAACACACCCCATAAATTTTCTTCTCCTTTAGGTGCTTTCAACACTGTTTCCTGTCATCTTCAAATCTAAGTGCTCAGCCTAACCCCAGGTAATTAACAAAGTCTTGGTGCTAGGCATATAGCAGGAAGTTGATAAATATAGTGGCAGGAAGGGAGAAAGGAAGGAAGAGAGGAAGGGAGAGAGGAAAGAAAGAGAAGGAGAGTGGGAGGAGTCAGCCCACATTCCTCCTGATGATTTGGAAATACTTGGGGGGCATCCTGATTGAAGGCTGTACCCTGTGACAGCCCAGGTGAGAACCCCCTCCAGCAAGGCAGTGCAGTGGAGGCAAGATGTCAGAAAGGGCATGTCAGGAAGCAAAGGGCTGACCAGTCAGATGGACTATGAACGGGGCCGACTTGCCAGGACGATGGTGTGACGTGGTAACGCTGCTCCAGGCAGGAAGGGGTGCCGAAGCTCCCGCCACGTGCCTCCGCTCTGGTCCCCCCACAGTGCTTCCCAGGATCTCCGGAAACCCTGTTTCATTAGCACATCCTCTCAAGATGATCCAAATGGAACGAAAGCTTTCTGGAGTCTAAGTGTGGTGGTGTCTTCCACTTCCTTTTTGCCTACCTGGCCTGTATCTGGAACAGCAAGAAATGATCGCACAGGTTGAGAAGATCTCTGACGTCACGGGCGAAGAATGCTCTCACCACCCCACCTTCCTCCATGCCTGCTGGCCTTCGTCACCAACACACACTTCCCATGAGAGCTGGGTTCTCGGCCCTGTGAAAGAGGATCCCATAAGGAGACTGTCTGCTTTCTATGAGCTACCGTAGAACATTGTATGGTTGTTTTCTCTGATTGGAATGTGGAGCACCAACTGACCGTCTGTGTTTAGGTCATCCTTGGAGAAGGTTTGGTGGGCTTTCGGGAGAGGGGGTTCTGAGATTGTGTGAGGAGGAACCCTGTAGGGGACACACTTACTTTAGTTCCAGGAAATGAGACTCTCTTGACTTTCCAGGGAAATTCTTCAATGCTAGGACATAGCTAGGGAGGGAATGGAGAGAAAGACAGAGAGACAATAATTTTTTGGCAAATCGTGTACAGTTAAGGGCAAGTTTTATTGTCTAAATATGTTAGTAGATCTTTGACGATCATTCTAATACATAATGAGATGAAATACCAAGTACCAGGCAATGTTAATCTCTCAGCCCTTATAAGAAATCTATAAACTAGTATGTTTTTAAAGTTTATTTTTTTATTTTGAGAGAGACTGAGACAGTGCGAGTCAGGGAGGGGCAAAGAGAGAGAAAATCCCAGGCAGGCTCTGTGTTGTCAACACAGGGGCCCCTACCAGGTTTGAACTCGTAACACCGAGAGATCATGACCTAAGCCAAAGCCAAGAGTCAGGCGCTTAACCGACTGAGCCACCCAGGTGCCCCTAAACTAGATTCACTAACTATCACTGTTTTACAGATGAGGAAACTGAGGCTGACAGAAGTGAAGCAAAATGCTCCTGGCCACGCAGCTGGAAGATGGTAGGACTCGAATTTTTGAATTTGTTTCTAGTTGATATTCTATTCTCTTTGCACTTTGGGTCACATATATATATAACACAAACCTGGTAAATCCTGTTATATAAATCCCGTTTCAAGATTAAAACTAACAATTGCCCCCCTCCCCACCCCCCCACCCCCCCCATTTTAAGAGTTTTTGCTCCTTGCATCTACAATGCCCACCTCTGGAGCTGGTTTGCTTCCACACTACATTATGCCACTGGATTAACTGAAACCCCTGTACCCACCTCGAGGTTCACCCCCCAGCTCACAAGCACAGGTGCACAGCAGCTCACAGAGATGTGCTATTTCCAGTAGGTCTGGAATCCTGGACTACTACCTCCAGTTTCTGCTGATTGAGTTAATATGTGCAAGTCAAGTTCCACCCCCCCCCCATTTTCTGTTTCTCCCCACATATTATGCAGGACCTTCTGGCCCGTGGCTTCCAACTTCATCGCCGTTTGCCTTATGGAAGGAAATCATGGAATTCTAGAGCCATCTTCCAGGTGGACTGCTCTCTGCTTTTGGGCATTTGCGCAGGGCGCTTCTGCAGGGAGCTGCTGGAAGCCAGTTTAGGTTTTGTTCACCAGTTTTTCTTGACTCCACTCACTTCTGGCCTCTATGCCCACGAGATCGTGTATAAGACTCAAGCCCGGTGCCTATCCGTGGCTAACCCCAGTCCCTCAGTGTGTGAAAGGATCTCAAGAACACCCCTTCTCTGGCCCCCAGAGAAGTTTCCCTGAAAGAGACGCATATTTCTTTAAATTCTAACAGTTGTAATGTCTTATGCAAGTAACTGAATTGCCGAGCTTGTGCCCATCGTGGAAGGGACAGAAAACCTGAAGGCGCTCATGGCGATGGTATTATCCTGTCCTTGCTCACTGTTTCCACTTTCAAAATATGTTAAAACAACAATAATAATAAAGCTATTCCAAATATGCCAAATCTAAAATATCTGCACTCCCAGACTCCACTATTGTGACTGTTTCTCGTTGATATTTTATAATGTTATCTCTTTTGGCCACACATCCACATACCACCCTGGGTTATTTATGAAGATAAATCTTCTGCCGAGATCAAAATTGACAATTATTTTTTGCTGCGTCTAAATTTATTTTTGCTACCTTAAAAAAAGATTTTGAAAATATTTTCCAGTAGGTTTATTTGTTTAAAGAAGATTTTGGTAAAGAAATTACTCTGAACAAAAAAATATATACATATCTTTCGGGTTGTCAGCTATCAACTGGCACATATTTGGAATTTCTTGAATTATTCAGGAGCTGACAATTGGGTTTTGGGATTATTTGTAACCTTGGCAGTGTTACTATGTTTCAACATTCTCAGAGTTTGTCTAAAAATGAAACTCCAGTCATTAATTTCTGGCTCCTTATTGGCATGGGTTTATTAACAAATCAAACTTCACATTACCCTGATTTTGTGAGCTTTTTTTTTTTCATCACCTCTGAAGTGGAAAGAATAATACCTACTTTATCGAATTGCCATGAGAATTGAATGACATAATATAGGTAAAATAATGATTACCCATCATGTACTAAGGGCTCACTAAAGGGAGCTTGAAAATACTGCCTAAACAGTGAAGTTTAGGGGCGCATGGGCGGCTCACTCGGTTGAGCGTCCGACTTCGGCTCAGGTCATGATTTCACAGGTCGTGGGTTTGAGCCCCGCGTCAGGCTCTGTGCTGACAGCTCAGAGTCTGGAGCCTGCTTCCGATTCTGTGTCTCCCTCTCTCTCTGACCCTCCCCTGCTCATGATCTGTCTCTTTCTGTCTCTCAAAAATAAAAATGTTAAAATAAATAAATAAACATTAAAATATTTTAAAAAATAAATAAAGAGTGAAGTTTAAAATTAATTGGGTGACAACAATTTGTGTTCATGTCTCCTGTCCCCACAAGCCTGTGTGCTCTGAGAGGATGCTCGGTGGCCTCTGCTGACCTTCACTTCTTCGCCAGCTTTCAGCCTGGTCCTGACACAGCGCTGTCCCCCAGTGAACAACGGTAGCATGAAAATCATACGAACTTCCACCTGCTACAGTCTCCATGGCACAGATAAGTAGTTGCTCGTTGTTGTCTATATTTAGAATTGATTTCCTTTCTCTAGACACAAAGAAAAATTTTAACTCCAATTTAAAGATCCTGTTTTTATTTTCTCTTCTATTTAAGAAACTGAAGCCGAAATTCTAATGTGAATTCAGTAAATGAGTGTTAAATAAGTTCACACCTAAAAGAAAGTCGGCAGATAAATGATGTCATCGGCTTTTCCGAGGAGAGGTAAAATTCAGACAACTTGGGAGAACAGCAGGAATTTGTTATTTGCTTTGGGGCTTGTCTCATAAACAATGAGCTCCAGTCTGGACGGCTGCAGTACAGCTAAGAAAAGATTTGACCTCACGTGCGACCGCATTGACCGCTCTGCAGGGAGGAGGCCAAGTTCATCAGGCCACCTGCTTGAAAGAGTCAGTGACAAGCACATTGGGCTTGAACATGTTGCTTTTGCTCCATAAGGAATATATTCCCCTGCTTTTTACCTAATAAGTGCTTTCCACCCTTTAAATGAATATAAATAAATGTATGGGCAAACGCTCCAAACTAATTTACAAATATTACCTGGTGCTATTGCAATATTCTAAGTGTATTTGGCTCAGACTTAAATTTTGTGGGTGTGTGTGTGTGTGTTTAAAGAAAACCTCAATTCATAGGACCCTATCAATATTAGACTAATGGGTATCTCTAACACCCAATATATGCTGTGAACAGTGCAAAAAAGGCTAACAGTTTGGCACAAAAGGGTAAGAGGAAGCATGCTATGGCTCTGGAATGGAAGATTGGGGCCAATTTGTGCAATGCTGTGCTTCTGAGTTTAGAATATATTTTATCTTATAAGACAAGATGGGAAATACGTTTACCTTAAAATTGAAAAGCAACCTAAGTATTGGCTACGTGGAAAGCCACGATGGAAAGTTTCCCTGGCTGAGAACAGCTTTATTGGACAAGTGTGCCCTGCGAGCCAGGAGTGGGAGTGGCCACCCACAGGCTGAGTATTTGTCATTCTTTGTCCTGTGGTCCAAGAGCCACTGGAGCCTTCTGGCAAAGAAAATGGCCTCATTGGGTCTGTGCTTAAGAAAGGCCTGTCAACAAGAAGAATTAATTTGGATAAGGAGCAATTAATGTATTTAATCTTACCCCATAGGTAGCTCTTTTCTTTTTTCTTTTTTTAAATTTAATTTTATTTTTTAAAAAAATTTTTAATGTTTCTTATTTATTTCTGAGAGAGAGAGAGAGAGCATGAGCAGGGGAGGGTCAGAGAGAGAGGAAGACACAGAATCTGAAGCAAGCTCCAGGCTCTGAGCTGGCTGTCAGCACAGAGCCTGACATGGGGCTTGAACCCACGAACTGTGAGATCATGACCTGAGCCAAAGTCAGACGCTTAACTGACTGAGCCACCCAGGCGCCCCAGGTAGCTCTTTTCTAGATACAGGAGACAATCGGTATCTCCCTATTCAGTTCCACCTGGACACTTGTCAGTTTGGGGAAAGGCAGTACTCTCCGGTTCATGGGACAGGTTCCTGTGACTGCAGATGGCTTCTCCCACCCACAAAGGAGGGTGGTCTTCTTTTAGTGCCCTTGCTTTCTAGGAATTGGGCCATAAGTTTATTTTCACATTTCAGAATTCAAGACCAAGGCTGTGTGTTTCATAAGACACATTTCCTGAACCCCAAGCTGAGTATCATTCTCATGAATATTACAAATTTGTTCAAGAAAGTGAATTCTTGGGGCGCCTGGGTGGCTTAGTCGGTTAAGCGTCCGACTTTCGCTTAGGTCATGATCTCGCGGTTCGTGGGTTCGGGCCCCGCGTCGGGCTCTGTGCTGACTGCCAGCTCAGAGCCTGGAGCCTGTTTCAGTCTGTGACTCCCTCTCTCTCTGACCCTCCCCTGCTCTCACTGTCTCTCTCTCTCTCTCTCTCCTAGAAATAAATAAAACATTAAAAAAAAAAAAAAGAAAGTGAATTCTTATCTTTTGACCCAAAGTACCTTCCAGAATCTGCTGGTATCTGAGCACGTTTCTCCCAAATCAGATGCATTTCTCTAAAAGAGAAATAGCAGCCAATGGTGCAGTGCGTCCCTCAGAGTTCCAGCAGGAAACAGATGGCCTTCCAAACTGAGGAAGTGAGGAATGTTCATAAAAGAGTAAGTTACAGAGGTGCGGAAAGATCTGGGCACATGCACAAAGGATGGTGAAAGACCTTGGGACTAAAAGAGCAGAAGGTGATGGTGACTGGTTAAGTCCTTTCTTCATCACGCCCAAGTCTGCAGGGAAATGGGCCAGTTAAGCTCTCAGGGTAGGTGGTTACTGGCAGAGGGTCACTGGAGAGCTGTGACACTGGATGGAAAGATGTGGCCACATTGTGTCCACTGCAGGAAGGGAATTAAATGCATCGCCTCCCTCTCCTCCCACTGGGGCTGAGAGCTCATTGATGTGGCTTGTGCAGATCAGCCTGCTGGACACAGACTAGGACAGGGAGGGGTGGGGATTGTGTCTGGAGGGCAAAGAGAAAATAGCCAGCTCAGTGCAGTTTGGGTGTGCAGTAAATCTGCATAAGATAATAGCGATGGGACATCAGAAAGATGTTGGCCTAGGAAGCTCCTTCATCCAGTCATGGAAAACCATTGCCCAGATGGCAACCGGCTTAGACCTAAGTGGCGGCAAATTCAGTTCCCAGTTCCACTCTTCAAATTAGAGGGAGAGAGCAGAGCTTACCTGCAAATTGCTGTGTGCATCTGTTCTAGCCCGGCTGGGGGTTCCTGAAGAACTGACTTGCTCTCACTTTCTCTCATCACTCAGAACACAGGCCAGAAGAGCTGCAGGCTTTGTTTATAAAAGCAACCAGGGAAAACACACCATACACACCTGGGGCAACAGATTCTCACTGGAGACATGCAAGAGACCATTTAAGGCTTGGAGGACAAAGTGGGGTAAGACTGTCTGGGAAATCAGGAGATTCAAAAGCAGCTGTTTATATAAGGGAATCTAGAAAGTCATATGCCTACCCAGGTAAAAGAGATGCTCACAAAAATCTGAGAACACTTTAAACTTTTAGCTAAGGCTAGTCCCTAGGCTCAGAGCAAGCCTAAATCAGGGAGTAGTAGCCCAGCATAGAGACGATCGGCCAAGGCTATGAGTGGGGAATGCCTCCTCAATCCCCCACCCCACCACTGGTATCTCTACCTCTGTCTCTATCTCTATCTATCTCTATCTCCATCATCTCTATCATCTCTATCTCTATCTCTGTCATCTCTATCATCTCTATTTCTAGCTCTATTTCTAGCTCTAGCTCTATCTTGGTGTTTTTGTCTATTTATCTCTTGCCATTCTAATAAAATATCAAACTGTGTTAGCTCAACACAAACTAAAGTAACAGAGACTTCAATGAACCCACAAGGCAAGGAATAGACTTTGCAAAAATAGTCTGGAAAAGTCACAAAACAAAGGGACTA